CTAGTGAAATGATGTATTAAATTTTTTTAAGTAATATCATATGTTTAAATTTTGGCATTTGTAAATGAAGTGAATTGGGTTAGGAGGTTGTCATTGTTTTTACAGTATTCGATTTGAATTAATCTATTAATAGATGGAATAATAATTATTAATTCAAAAAAATATTAGATAGTCCCATAATTGACTTGTTTTTATTAGAAGACTGTTGTTTTCTGGGGGCTGAATGACATATAACATAGCTTTCATACAGCTCAATCCATAAATTGTTTTTTAATTTGGCATTAAAATTTTCATTTTATATAATCCCACTAAAAATTTGTGTTTGAGCATTAAAAATAGTCTTTCAAAAATTTTATTTATTTTTGTTTAAAAATATTGTCTCTCAAGCCAAGCCAACTATACTGTCCAGATCTAAGTCACGACCAGACATGGATTCTTAGAGACAACTACTAAGCAGTAACAAATCCTAAATAAAGAAAACTATTTAGTCAATCTCACTTTTGTCATGTTTAACTAATTTTCTCATAAGTCGAGAACTGAAGCGATACTCAATTCCAACATGTGAATTGAAAAACACCTTAATAACTTTGGAATATCTCTCTCAATCTCTGCGCTTAATTTCAAAATCAAAACAGTTTTCAAAATCAAAGATTGACTTTGGTCAAGATGTTGTGATTAAATGTATGGGAGGAAGGGTCGACTTAGTGAAAGCACATTCGACTTCCTGGGAACACACTTGGCAAGATTGCCTTGCCAAGAGGAAATTGAGATCGGAATTAGTAGTTATTGAAACAACAATCCGAGTCAGTCTTCACAAACTTAAACGTTTATTGATCTACAATAATTGATGTTGATCAGATCAATTTTAGAAGCCGTAATCAAAGATTGCCTTGGTATTTGATATATAAAGAAGAGTCACGATGATGACCCTTGTAGACAAATTAACCGACGTGAATCCTTAAGGGAAAATCTAATTCGATGATCCGGAGAAAATTGAGTCAAAGCGAAGCTTGAGACTGTTTTTACCATATTCATTTTCAACCTTCAATTTTTATTCTCTTTATTTTTCTTCACTTTTTATTATTTAACCCTTTTTACCAACCCCTTTTACTACTTATCGCTTGATTTAAGTCATTCAAACATAAATTTGAAATTTTCTAAGTCCTTGAGAATCGACCCTTACTTCTATTTACTACGTATTTCCTTTATTTATTAACTGAGAAAAAAGAAATTATTTTGACATCAAAACGACAGTTGTCACTCACCAACCATATTTACAGGTAACGAAACCCCATTACCTACGACCAACTTACCAGGGTTGCTACAATTCAAGTGATGAGCAAACTTGGTAGAATTTGGCGTGATATGGTGGGTTGCTCCTGAATCCACAACCCATTGTTCTTGCATAACAGCAGTAACATGTTCTTGAGATTGAACAATGGACTAGTTACTATCACGTGGTTTAGCCTCATTGCCACAACAACCACATCCCATGTTATCACCATCATATGTAGAATAATAGGTAGTTAACGAGCCACCCTTGTTCGAGGATTGATTATCAAAGGAAACACCAGGAAAATCTTGATCAAAGCGACGCCAACACTGACTGACCAAGTGCCTATTCTTACCACACAATTGGCATTGCACGGATAACAACAATAAACGACCGGTATTTTCTTGGAAGTCCTTAAAAGGAATGGGACTTCCACACGATGCCAAGGCATCACAAACTTCTTTCACACGGGTAAGATAAACCCTCATACTATCCTCCCCTTTCTTGAAAGACTGGAGCTTATAATGTAAGCTCATCACAGCAGTCGCAGATCGGTTTGCAAAGAATTGAAGCACTTTACTCCAACACTGACAGCAGTTTCAGCCCCAACAAAGTATGGCAGTAAGTGAGCATTCATTGTCGACAAAAGCCAAGACGCGACCGCATTATCCTGTGCTACGATCTCCTCATATTCATCGTTCAGAATCACAACACCATCATCATTGATAACAGTTTCTGGCGATGGCATCATTGTACCAGTCAGCATCCGCTCTAACCGATGACTCCTGACTGTAGGCAAAGCTTGCTACTTCCATAATAGGAAATTCATCTCATCAAGAACTACATTTACTCTTTTATTGGTAAAGGCTTTGGCATTTCTTGAGGAAAATTCCAACGACACAGCAACATACTCCAGGCTTTGAGCCATAACAAGAATAGAGCTATGCAGCGAAAGATTCAGAAAAAGAACCCCAGGAAAGCAGCGAATGATACCATCTTGTAAAGTAAGAACTTACAGAGAATATTGAAGAAAATATAACTACTTCATATATTCAAGAACCTGATACAACAAGACCTTATATACATTCCATGCACACGTGAACTATTAAGCTAACAACCCTAACTACTTAACAACCTAACTGAACCACATCCACGTGTGTACAGCAACAGTCAATACAAACTCAACACTTTATATATGAATTGATCGCCATGACCATGAAAATTTCTTGGTCCTAAGCAATATATCTAGCAGGGATTCAAATAGCAGAACACAAATGTGATCGTGTCCGCTATTTCGAGGTCACGCCGCCGTCCGAAACTGATATTGCTGAGTTTAACGGTGGGTAATGGATTCATGCCAATAGCGGTCCGTTGCGCCCGCAATTTAACGGGGTAACCGTGGATAGCACCGGAATACTATTTCCGTTTTTCAACCGTTACTAAAAAATAAAATAAGAACATAAAAAATGGAATTTTCACCCAAAACGCAAAAATCAGTCCGGAAAAGACTCACCATCGGGGAAAAACGTAAAAAAACTGAAATTCTCACTCAAAAACTCTTAAACTCAAAAAAAAAAATAGAAAGCGCATCATCGCGCAAGACTCACCAGTCACCGGTCACCAAGGTAAAGATCAAATCGATAAGGGGACAAGTCGACAAAACAAAGCTGTTTTAAGGAAAATCTTAGGTCTGATGAGCTTCGCCGTCAGTGAAAAATAAGGTAGAGTGTATGCTCCTCAGCTCCTGTGAAAAACGAAATGTTAAACTTGAAAATGAGAAGACTTGGGATTTAAGACTTGGAGAAAATTATATTAGAATATTAAATAGCTTCTGGTAATTTCTTTTGTTTTTGTGTTTGATTTTTAATTCAAAAAACAATAAGTATATTGTTTTGGGCCGTCCACTCATATGTTCCATTTTTTTATTTTTTTTTATTTTTTAAATAAATTCTTAAATATTTTAAGGGATATATTAATTTATCATCACTCCCCTCTTTTAGAATTTATAATTTAATCCTTACTTTAGAATATAAACTTTAATTTTTATTTAATTTAATCCTAAGTTTGTGTTCTCTAAATTTATACTTTTATTTTAATTCTATTCAATTTAGTTGTGTTCTATTCAATTTAGTCGTGTTGCGGCTTTAATTATTATACATCATAGTTTTATGTTTTTACTTTAATGATTGAACATCTTATTTCTTTTAAATATACAATAATGTATTCACAATATCATCAACTCTTCATTAATTATCTTATCCTATCATCGGGTTTTTAAAGTCTTCTATTTGGTAAAACAATATTATATATATGTCATTTTCGGTTAAAAACATTCTAAACATCATTAAAAATGACTAATTATAATTATTATATTTTACGATAAGTTGTGCAAAATTTAAAAAAATTTACAACCGCGACACCCGCAGTGACCGCGATGACATCCGTTATGTCCGCAACCGCGATAAACGCGATGCAACCGAAAACGCGGCCGCGAACTCTATTTAAATCCCTGATATCTAGTTCTCTTATGTTCCGAATGATATCGATATGCTGGTTGATATTATTTTTGCATATATATATGAACTAGATATAATTCTGAAGCTATTTTGTATATGTTGCTTGGAGTTATTGTACGCAATGTTCAAAGCTTCTCAAAGGCAGCTAATAGTTTTGAATAATATGCAGATAGATATATTGATTCAATTCTTAAATAAATGAATCCTTAACATTTAAACTTAATTAATGTGGAAATTGTGCAAATTATATATAAAATGAAAATAATTAAAGCAATCTATAATTAAATATTTTTTTATTGATAAAGAACACAACATAATAATTAAGCACTAAATTGTTATGTCTAAGTGTGAATGCTGCAGCTGCGTAAGGGGGTGTCAGGAATTATTTTTCGCCGATAGATTTGTCACGGTTCATCTTCGCCATTTTAAAGTGAAAATCACAAATAAATTAGAATTCTAAATGGATAGAGTGTTCGATGAACTGTTCGTATAACGTTAATTTATTAAGCTAAATAAATGAGTATGAATAATTTTTATGTTTATTTAATAAACACACGAACACAAACAAACAAGCTCATTTATTGACTCGTTCATTTATGTTCATGAACAAGCTCATTTACTTAGTTCTCCTTTCTTTTTATTTTTATTTTTTACATTTTAAATATTGATGAAAGTAAAGACTAAATTAAACACATGGTGAAAGTTAAAATTTAAATTACGAATTTTTAAAGAGTATAAGGACTAGTGACATAATTTTATTATTTTTCTTTAACTTCAAATAAAAGGGCAAAACTAAAAAATCGAACATATAAATAGATGATAAACGAACATTTTAGAGAACGCTAAACGAACATGTTGATAAACGCAAAACGAATATATTCGCGAAGGATAAATAAACGAACACGAACACATTCAAAAATAAATAAACGAATAAAAACACAACATTAAAAATTAAATGAACACGAACCGAACATGAACACCTTAAAAATAAACAAATGAATATGGACATAACTTTATTTGTTCAAGCTCGATTCATTGATACCGCTAAAATAAATAATTAAAGATAATTTAGTAATAATTCCACGTCAACTAAATTTAAATAAATAATTTCACCATAAAAAGTGTGCAAATAATATAATAAAATGAGGTATGAATACAGTTTGAATTCATAAAATTAAGCTTCGCTTAAATAAGAAAATAAAAACACTGCCAATGTTACAAACTCAACTGCTCCGTTTGATCCTCCCTTTACCTTTTACCTAAAGCTCACGAAGGGGTCGAAAAGAGACTTGGGTTGGGGACCATCCCATTCCACTGATTCCCACCACTTCTTTGGTCTTATCCGAACTGAAAGAGAAAGATTTGCAGATGCAGATGGTGGGACATTATCAAGTTTGGGAAGATTAAGGCCCATCCTCTTTAATTTTGGACAGTCTACAATCCCAATTATTCCAAGAGAATCACAAACCAGTACTCCACCAGCACTGCAAATGTTCTTCAATTCCGGTAGATCCCCCAAACTCAATAGCCCTAATTGTGGAAGATGAAACTCCGTGATAACCATTCCTCTTTCCTCCGTTTCAACTTCTGATGTTATTATTTCCTCCAATTGCTTACAACTTCTGACACTGAGCATTTGTAAATTTGGCGGCACACAGTTTGGGGAGAACAACTTTTTCATATTCCCACAATCATTTATATAAAGAGATTTAAGAGATGAAAAGGAGGAAAGTGAGAAGAGGATAAACCTGGAGAAAAGCGGGTATTCTTCACTGCAATTAACATTGCAATACTCCTGAACTGAAAGAGAAAGATTTGCAGATGCAGATGGTGGGACATTATCAAGTTTGGGAAGATTAAGACCCATCCTCTTTAATTTTGGACAGTATACAATCTGAAATACGACAAGAGAATCACAAACCAGTACTCCACCAGCACTGCAAATGCTCTTCAATTCCGGTAGACCATTCAACAACAATTGTCGTAGTTGTGGAAGATGAAACTCCGTGATAACCATTCCTCTTTCCTCCGGTTCAACTTCTGATGTTATTATTTCCTCCAATTGCTTACACCCACCAACTCTAAGCCTTTGTAAATTTGGCGGCACACAGTTTGGGGAGAACAACTTTTTCATATTCCCACAATCTTTTATATGAAGACATATAAGAGATGAAAAGGAGGAAAGTGAGAAGAGGATAAACCTGGAGAAAAGTGGGTATTCCTCACTGCAATCAACATTGCAATCCGTGATATGCAATCCCTCAATGTCACGTGGAAGCACAATCTGGTAGTTATAGATGTTACAACCCCTTGCAAAAATTTTTTTCCTTCATTCTCAAAAAACGTATCAAAATCTATATCTCCCACGTAGATTGTGTATTTACGAGGCTCTTCTCGGCCACAAAAATCTTGGAGATACATATTTAAGTTGTGCCAGTCATAAAACCTCCCTTCAAGAGTTCCCTGCAGTTTCTTCAATCCACCCACCTCCTTTCCAATTATCAGAGTTTCACCGACGATCAAGTCTTGAAGACAACAGAGTCTTGAAAGTACTCCATCCGGGATTTCCTTGATCTTTGTTCCTCGAAGATCCAACTTCTTTAAAACTCCAAGATTTGACAACGATGGAACATTCCCTAAATCTTTACAATCAGCAAGCAACAATGAAGTGAGGTTCTTCAAATTTGATAAGGAATGCGGAAGACTCTTGATAGGATTGGAGGAAAGATCAAGAACCTTAAGTGCATCCATATAATGGAAGAAGCTTTCTGGAATACTTTCTATACGACAACGACACAACAACAATGTTGTGAGCCCGGGACACTTCGACAAGGAAATTGGAAGACTCTTGATAGGATTTCCGGAAAGATCAAGAACCTTAAGTGCATCCATATGCTTGAAAAATCCTTCTGGAATACTCTCTAAACAGCAACCAGACAACAACAATGTTGTGACCCTGGGGCACTTTGGGGGTGACATTTCCAAGGGTATACATAACCGCCAATTCCTCATCAACGAAACTTTCTCTAGATTCATGCTCCATTCTTGCACATCTGGTGCCTTTTCTAACATCATGCCGGCTTTTACCAAGAATCGAGATTTTGCAATACGCAATGCCATGTCCCTTAAAAGATCATGCATCTTTACACATCTTCTATTTCCTCTTTAGTAAAACCTTCCAACAAACAATTGCTGATGAGTCTATTCATTATTGCACGACCATTGTCATACTCTGCCTGCATGCTATCCATTTCTTCCACTAGCCCTTCTCCGATCCAAAGTTGAATAAGACTTCGTTCTTCAATTTCCTCATCTTCTGGATATAATGCACAACTGAGGAAACAGTCTTGAAGTTTTGGATTCTTTAAACGATCATAACTAAATTGTAATTGTTGGAACACTTCATCTTCGAATCCATTAACACTCTTTTTGCGTAGACTTAATTCTTTTAGTGCATTCCTCCATTCTGAAATGTCATCAATGCCCTTCATACAAGAAGCTATAGTAATTACTCCCAAGGGCAAACCTGCACAATGCTTAGAAACTGATCTTGCAATTGGTTCCACCCCTCGAATATCACAGCGCGCCTTCTCTAAGAACAACTTCCATGCCTCTTCTTCCGTCAGAGGCTTCACTTTAATCATTCTACAACCCACTTGTCGACACACATCAGCTGATCTTGTTGTCAACACTAATTTACTCCCATTTGACGGCTCAGGAATTCCTATTCTCTCAAGTGAAACCTTCTCCCATAGGTCATCCAAGATCATCACAAATCTACTCTTCTGAGACAATGTTTCAAGGAGCATCCCTGCCCTTGTAGTTTCATCTCCACAACCAGAAAATTTGACTTCTATTTTACTTGCAATGTCTTCCTGCAGTTTAGCAATACTCATCTCTTTGGATACAGTGATCCAAATCACAATATTGAATTTCCCTGTCTCTTTTAAGAGTTGGTTGTTTATAACCTTCATGATGCTTGTTTTCCCCACGCCACCCATGCCCCAAACTCCAATCTTTGGAACCTCATCATCCATCAAGCAATGCCAGATCTCTTCAATACATACCTTTACAGCTTCACCTGATAAACTTGTTGTCGATAAAACTTGTCCTATCCATTGAGGATTGTCAACCACCAAACCTCCATGAAACTTACCATGTTGAATAATAAGTTCTTCAACTTCCGTAATACTCTTCGAGACATCTTCTGTGTGAAATCCACGTGTAAGAGCACTACTTTCGCCGATTCTTCCATCAAGGACTTGCACTTCGCCATTGACTCTTTCAACATTTTCCAACCATATCTGGACTTCCGCCTTGAGTTTCTTTCTCGGCTGCAGCTCTGATCTCTTTATAGATTCTGTGTCTTCCTTCAAACCATTCAATTCCTCCAATTTCCTTTTAAGGTCCTTCCGATGTTGATCAAGGCTTCTATGATTGTCCAAGTGTTTATCTATCTTATTCAGAACAAAGTCCATGGCTGCAAGTCACAACCCATATGTTAGAAACTAAATAATAAGCATCATTAGGTAAATGTATCTAAACATGACTAAAAATATAACTTCATTTTACTCTACAAAAATGTTTAAGAAATTATAAAGATTTAAATCAAGAAGTTTCACCCTCTCACGAATAATCAAATTAAATTAGCAGAAATTTAAGAGTGTGAAATTTCAAAATTTCAAGGAACAAAATTAAATTATAAATAAAAATACAAAAAAAAACTGAATTATAAGATACTTTTTGGGTACATGGATGTCTATAAACAAAATTTAACAATAAATTTAAGGTATATTTACATAATGAATAATCAAATGTCTTTTTTTTCTTTATAGTTGACAAAAAATTTAATGAAAGATCCTATGAATCGACCTCAATAATTAAGGGGAGTATTGTTCTCATTAAAGGTATTGGATTCAAAAGCGTTGCCAATAATTAATGTTGGTTTATCTTTTTGTTATCAATCATTTATTACTACTAATACTATTTATCTGGCATTATCATTTACAATATTCAATCTTAATGATAATGAAACTTGTTTTCTTTCTTTGCTATTATGTTTTCTATAATTTCTGATTATAAAAATAAACTAATAATATTCTTAAATATTTCCGATATCGAAAACATGCAAATTAACAATCTAATGCAAAATTGATATAATTGTAAACTAAAAGTGATGTTACAATAATTAAATAATTTATAAGGGTATTTTAAAATGATTTAACAAAAAACCTTTAGTCCAATTAATCAAAATTATATTTAATTTACATTTTAATAAAAATCTATATATTTCTTTTAATGAAAAATTAAAATACTAAACGAAAACTAAAAGTTAAATTCTAACCATAAGGAAATTATCATTAACAAGAAAAAGGATAATTTAATCTTAAAATAATATAAAGGAAATAATTTTAATTAAACATTTTATGAGAGTATTTTAAAAGAATTAAAAAAAATATTAACATTTTAGAACACAAATCCTAAATAATTTGTAGAGTAAACTATACTGGTGACCATTTAACTATTATCAGATTTCATTTTGACCACCGATGTTTCGATTTAACCAATCGGATCACTTAACTATTTAAATGCTTTAATTAAGTCACTATTCGTTGACTTTTAATGGGAGAGGTGATGTGACAATTAAGAACTTGGTATAATTGCATATTTAGTCCTAAATATTTATACATTTTATCAATTTGGTCATAATATAATTCTATTAAAATAAATTTTTCATCCAATACCACCTTATTAAAGAGAGAAAATAAACGGGAGGAATGCATTAGGGGGCATCAAACCTAAGACATTCTAAAGCCAAGCACGCCTTAACCACTCAGCTAAGCCTCCCATTTGGTTCCATATTACAACATGTTTTATATAACTTATTTCAATTAATGATAGAAAAAATGAAGTGAAAATGATATCAAGAAGATTCAAACCTGAGATTGTAAGCATGGATGAAACAATCATAACTACCAAGTCAAATCACATATTTAAAGGAGATTTTTAGTATCTTTTATATATTCGTATTTTTACTCAAAAATTTATTTATCTCATAATATTGTTATTGATATAAAAATAAAAAATAAAAATATTTAGATGATATTTAACTTTTAATATTTTAATATTTTTAAACAGAAAAATAAAGCATGGATGAAACAATCATAACTACTAAGCCAAATCACATATTTAAAGAAAAGTTATAGTATCTTTTATATATTCGTATTTTTACTCAAAAATTTATTTATCTCATAATATTGTTATTGATATAAAAATAAAAAAATAAAAATATTCAGATGATATCTAACTTTTAATATTTTTATATTTTTAAACAAAGAAAAATAAGTTTAATATTTTATTTTCAAAACCAAATTCAATATTTTTATACTTTTAAACAAAATTTATGAAAGAATTCATTTCATATAAAAATAAAAATATTTTTATATATTAAAAAATAAGTTTTATATTTTCAATATTTTAAAACAATTAAATTTAATGCAAGATTCAAAAATATATAAAAAAAACATCGAATTCAGTTTTAAAAATAAAATACTAAACTTATTTTATTTGTTTAAAAATATTAAAAATAAATAAATATCATTTTTTTAATGAATATATAAAAATACCAAAAATTTTCTTAAAATATGTGATTTGAGTAAGTGGTTATGATTTTTTCATCTATGCTTACAGCTCCATATTTGAATCTCTCTGTTAGCATTTTTATTTCATTATTTTTTTGTTATTAACGGGAATAAGTTATATAAAGGCTACTATGGTGTGTCAGTTTAATTCCTCCTTTAGTTTATCTCGTCTTTTATTTTTTTTCTCTTTAATTCGGTGGTAACATGTGTCTTCATCTTGTTGACTAAAAAAATTATTAGATTAAATAAATAAAAATTAAGAAAATATCCTCTAATAAAGTAGTTCTAAATATGAAAAGGAACCAAATCTACAGCCGTTTATGAGTTTTGAAGAAAAAAAAAGGAATGTTGAAATCCCATAAATACCTCTTTTGAGAAGCTTGTTCGAAGACGGTGATCGGAGAGAAGCAGCTAGTGAAGAAAACGGCCAAATGAAGTTGCTTGGTTTGCAGAAGAGCCGCTATTCACTCACCTGAACTTAAACTAAGCTTCGCCTACAACACAGAGGAAAGCAGTGCGAAAGGTAACATGTATCATTATCTTATTTGATTAAAAATTTATTAACTTAAATAAATAAAAATTAAGAAAATATCATCTAATCAGGTAGTTCTAAATACAAAAAGGAATAGATTATGAGCTTTGAAAAAAACAGAATGCTGAAATTCCATAAATACCTCTTTTGAGAAGGTTGTTCGAAGACGATGATCTCGGAGAGAAGCAGCTGATGAAGAAAACGGCCAAATGAAGTTCCTTGGTTTGCAGAAGAGCCGCTATTCACTCACCTATATTTAAACTAAGCTTCACCTACAACACAGAGGAAATTTCTGGGAAAATATGAGGAAGCTCCGCTGCAACCACTTTAAAGAAAGGTAATGACGTTAATTTTAAGGAAATTAAATTAAAGCCTAGTTTTGTTGTTTATTATTGTATTCTTATATTTGGTTGTATGTGATATTGATATTTATTATGTGATATTGAAGATCGATGATATCAAATAAAATCAAATGATCAATGAACTAACAAACGAACCCCGATGATATCAAATAAACTGTCGATGACGATGATGATCCTATTGAAGATCATCTAATACCAAAAATCTGGGACGTAATTGACGACGATGGAAATATGAGGTCGATTTGTACAGAGATCATCCCTGAGTGATAGAATTAAGAGCCAAATGGAAAGACAGATGAGCAGATGCAGGGACATTATCTAATATCTGCCTGCTTCTTTTAATATTTTCAGTGGTCTCATCAGCTAAGGGTGAGCGTTCAATTGAGTCGAGTCAAAAATTTTAGAGTTATTTGAGTTGACGAGTCTTATTTTATAATCCGAAGTTGACTTGAAATTTTTTCGAGTTGGATAAAGTACATAGATGATCCCCAAACTATAATGTATTGTTTTGTTAGTTTTTCGACTATTAAAAGTTACAAAATAGTCTTCCGACTATGTGAAATTATTTTGTTGAGTCTCTCGACTATTAAAAGTTATAAAATAATCATTTGACTAATCATATGTTCCAAACTCGTCATTTTTTGGTAAAAAAATTAATGGTCGTCTGAGCTGGACGTTAATATGTTGATTGAGATATGATAGTCGTTTGATATTCTAGAATAGATTTTAGCATCTCTCAGTCAACATGTTAGTGTCCAACTCAGGTTGCTATCAATGTTTTAACGAAAAATGATGAGTTTAAAATATATGAATAGTAGGGTGACAATTTTGTAACTTTTAATAATCGAGAGACTCAACAAAAACTAACATCCTATAGTCGGAAGACTATTTTATAACATTTACTAATAGAGAGACTTAATAAAATAACACCATATAATCAAAGAAGAATATAACATATTTTAATTAAAAATAATTTTAGTTAATTGTCAATTACATTGATGTTACATGCAACATCAAAATCATGTGATTTTTAGCCATGTTAGAGGTCCAAATTGTGTCTCGTTGATAGTGTCGCACATTATATATTTACTAACTCGAATTAAAACTTAAAAATTTTTATACATATATGTCAGAATAATAGTGTGGCAGATGTTTTGATATGAATAGTTTGGACCCGGTTTTTATGTTAAAGGATGAATATATAGAATTTTAGAGGGGAATAAACTTAAAGAATTTTAGAAGATAAATATATTATCAATATAAAATACATAAAAATAATTTTTTTTTAAAGATTTTAAGAGGGTAATTGTCTCCACCGGTTCTCCTCGATACATTCTGCATAGAATACAGATGCTGCTTTGTTGGACGATGCTCGTCGTGATCTACAGTGAACCCTGAAGCTGTGATTTAGCTTTAGTCTAGTTTTCTTTCTCTTTTAATAAAAAACATTTGATTTTTATTTTTGGCCACCATACTAATCACATGGTTGAATTTTTTATTAATTTATTTTATCCATTTAATAACTTATTTTACTAAATAAAAGATTAACGAAATAAAAAGGGAGTTTTGAAACTTTAAAAAATAATTTAAATCTTATTATGTATATGAATTTGATTATAATAATAATAATGTAAATTTCCAATCTTTTATAGATGAACAAGAAAACTTATTTTACTATTAAAAGATTCAACATTTAAAAATCTAATCAATTGAAATTTATATCAATATATAATAAATTAAAATAAAATTTAAATCATGATAAATAAAATAATTAAAAATTAAAATCTTTTATGTTCTATAAGATATATATCATACCAGGAAAGAATAAAAAAAATCAAACAAATAACTAAGAAAAATAAAAGATACAGTAAAACACCATCATAAAAAATTTGGGTTAGAGTTACTAAATTTTTAATTCGATTTCCTTATAGTCATTACTAATAGAATATGCTTATGGGGATTCTTTTACCATAAAACCTTAATTATCTAAATTGCCAACAGTTGTAATATTTTTGAGTTTCTCATGAATGAATAGTGATTGATCAATCTCAATCGTTTTAGTTCTATTTTGTAGATCAAATATCTATTTACATTATGTTATTAAGTCAATGCTTGAACTATTACACTGACGAGCCAAAACAACAATAATGTTAGTAGACATTATTAAAATATAATTTTATCATATATCTATAGTATTGTCAACATTGCAATACCCAATATCCAATCCATCAATGTCACCTGGAAGCACAATCTGGTAGTTATAGATGTTACAACAGCTTACAACAATTTCTTTACTTACACTTCCAATTTTTAATTACAATAAAATTACGACGAAGGGGTCCAAAAGAGACTTGGGTTGGGGACCATCCCATTCCAATGATTCCCACCACTCCTTTGGTCTTATCCGAACTGAAAGAGAAAGATTTGCAGATGCAGATGGTGGGACATTATCAAATTTGGGAAGATTAAGACCCATCCTCTTTAATCTTGGACAGTCTACAATCTCAATTTGTAGAAGAGAATCACAAACCAGTACTCCTCCAGCACTGCAAATGCTTTTCAATTCCGGTAGATCCCCCAAACTCAATAGCCCTAATTGTGGAAGATGAAACTCCGTGATAACCATTCCTCTTTCCTCCGGTTCAACTTCTGATGTTATTATTTCCTCCAATTGCTTACACCCACCAACTCTAAGCTCTTGTAAATTTAGCGGTACACAGTGTTGGATCATAAACTTGATCCATTATGGGAGCCTAAACCCAAACCCAAACTAAATTGATGTCATTACTTACATCATTTAATTAAAGATGTCATTGCTTACATCATTTAATTAATGATGTCATTGCTTACATCAATTTAGTTAGGTGAGAGTTAGATATTTGTTGAATTTGTAATGGTTTAAATTAGTTTATTTGTGTGGTGTAGGATTGTTCTTGAGTAGTATAAATACCCCTTCCCATTTTAGTTTTAAGCATCAAGAAAAATTAAGAGCTTCTAAGTGAGTGAAGAAGCAAAGTCTTATAAGAGTGAGTTGTAGTTCTTGTTTTTGAGTGAGAGTACTCTTGTAATATTTGTTTGAGTTTCAATAAAAGTTGTTTGTGTGAGTGTTTTATTTCCAACAAAGTGGTATCAGAGCGAGTTGGAAAGATCGAAGGTCTCGACAAGAGGAATACGACGCCGCCAGAATTTTCTCAATCTGAGTTCTGACGCACCGCCACGCACCGCCGGAAGACTGCTGCCAGAAAATCGAGTTGACTCACCGAGTTGAGCCGATTCAGCCGAGTTGGAGCCCTTGACCGAGTTGTCCAAGTCCCTCCAAAGTTTTTTTTTTCATCGTTCCGGATTCATCCGTGCAATCGGATTTTACAAAATCTCATTATATTGAGAGATATGGCAAATGGTATGGCACCATTCCAAGTTCCGACACTCAACAACAACAACTACGACAATTGGAGTATCAAAATGAAGGCACTTCTTGGATCACAAGATGTGTGGGATATCATAGAGAAAGGCTATAATGAGCCTGCGGATGATGATGTTTTTGCTACTCTTACACCAGATCAAAAGACAACTTTGAAGGATTCAAGAAAGAGAGACAAGAAGGCTCTCTACCTCATCTATCAAGCATTAGATGATGATGGTTTTGAAAAGATTTCAAGTGCAAGCTCTAGCAAGGAAGCGTGGGAGAAGCTGCAAACCTCTTACAAAGGATCCGAGCAAGTGAAGAAGGTTCGTCTCCAAACATTAAGAGGTGAATTCGAATCCTTAAACATGAAAGCATCTGAGTCTATTTCAGATTATTTCTCAAGAGTAGTAGCTGTTTCTAATCAATTAAAAAGAAATGGTGAAAAGTTAGACGATGTGAGGATAATAGAGAAGATACTCCGTTCGTTGGATCCCAAATTTGAGCACATCGTCGTGACGATTGAAGAAACTAAAGACTTGGAAGAAATGAAGATCGAACAGCTCCAAGGATCATTGCAAGCATACGAAGAGAAGCATAAAAAGAAGCATGAGTTTACTGAGCAACTCCACCCACTTCACCAACATCAACCACTCAAGGAGACTCATCACCTTCATCATCGTCAAGTGGGAGTCAAAGTGAAAGAGTTGTGCAACGCACAAGAAGCCTTAGAGATCTCTATGAGGTAACTGAACGACAAGATAATCTTACATTTTGTCTGTTTGCCGATTGTGAACCAGTGAGCTTTCAAGAAGCGGTACAAGAAAAGAAATGGAGAGATGCGATGGACGAAGAAATCAAGGCCATCGAGAAGAATGACACATGGGAACTTACCTCACTTCCCAAGAGACATAAGGCGATAGGTGTCAAATGGGTGTACAAAACAAAGCAAAACGCCAAAGGAGAGATTGAAAGGCACAAGGCGAGGCTAGTTGCTAAAGGCTATAGTCAAAAGGCTGGAATTGACTATGATGAGGTATTTGCTCCTGTTGCTCGATTGGAGACTATCAGACTAATCATTTCTTTGGCAGCTCAAAACAAGTGGAAGATACAACAGATGGATGTAAAGTCCGCCTTCCTAAATGGAGTTCTTGAAGAGGAACTTTACATTCAGCAACCATCAGGCTATGAAGTCAAAGGGCATGAAGACAAGGTGTTAAAGTTGAAGAAGGCTCTTTACGGGCTAAAACAAGCACCAAGGGCATGGAATAGCCGAATCGACAAGTACTTCCAAGAGAATGGCTTCAACAAATGTCCCTACGAGCATGCTCTATATATATCAAGATCAAAGATGAAGATATTTTGATCGTGTGCCTCTACGTGGACGATTTGATCTTCACTGGAAGCAACCCAAGCATGTTTAATGAATTCAAGGATGTGATGATGAAAGAATTCGAGATGACAGACATGGGGCTCATGGCGTACTACCTTGGCATTGAAGTTAAGCAACAAAATGATGGAATTTCATTTCACAGGAAAGCTATGCAAAGGAGATACTGAAGAAGTTCAAGATGGAGAACTGTAAGCCAATAAGCACACCGGCAGAATACGGGATCAAGATGACCAAACATGAAGAAGGCGAAAGTGTAGATCCAACATTCTTCAAAAGTTTGGTAGGAAGTCTACGCTATCTAACTTGCACGAGACCCGATATTCTTCACGCAGTTGGATTGGTTAGTCGCTACATGGAATTCCCAACAACCACCCATTTTAAAGCCGCAAAGAGAATTCTTCGCTATCTGAATGGTACAATTGACTTTGGCTTGTTCTATTCAGTTTCTAATGATTACAAGCTTGTTGGATATAGCGACAGTGATTGGGGTGGAGACATAGATAATCAAAGGAGCACTACTGGATTCGTATTTTTCATGGGAGATATTGCATTCACATGGATGTCAAAGAAACAACCGATTGTCACATTATCCACTTGTGAAGCGGAATATGTTGCTGCTACCTCATGTGTTTGTCATGCAATTTGGCTTAGAAATCTATTGAAGGAGATTGGTTTGATACAAGAAGAGCCTACCAAGGTTTGTGTCGACAACAAGTCAGCCATTGCCTTAGCGAAGAATCCAGTATTCCATGATCGAAGCAAGCACATTGATATTCGCTACCACTATATAAGGGAGTGTGTTGCAAGAAAAGATGTGGAAGTTGAATATGTGAAGTCACAAGATCAAGTTGCTGATATTTTTACCAAGCCACTGACCAGCGAAGACTTCTTAAGATTAAGGAACCTACTAGGGGTCACGAGATCAAGTTTAAGGGAGGGTGTTGGATCATAAACTTGATCCATTATGGGAGCCTAAACCCAAACCCAAACTAAATTGATGTCATTACTTACATCATTTAATTAAAGATGTCATTGCTTACATCATTTAATTAATGATGTCATTGCTTACATCAATTTAGTTAGGTGAGAGTTAGATATTTGTTGAATTTGTAATGGTTTAAATTAGTTTATTTGTGTGGTGTAGGATTGTTCTTGAGTAGTATAAATACCCCTTCCCATTTTAGTTTTAAGCATCAAGAAAAATTAAGAGCTTCTAAGTGAGTGAAGAAGCAAAGTCTTATAAGAGTGAGTTGTAGTTCTTGTTTTTGAGTGAGAGTACTCTTGTAATATTTGTTTGAGTTTCAATAAAAGTTGTTTGTGTGAGTGTTTTATTTCCAACACACAGTTTGGGGAGAACAACTTTTTCATATTTCTGCAACCATATATTTGAAGAAATTTAAGAGATGAAAAGGAGCCAATTGAGAAGAGGATAAACCTGGAGAAAAGCGGGTATTCTTCACTGCAATCAACATTGCAAAACCAGATACGCAATCCCTCAATGTCATGTGGAAGCACAATCTGGTAGTTATAGATGTTACGACCACTTGCAACAATAGCTTTTCTCACAACTTCAGAAAACTTAGGAAAGTCCATATCTCCCACAAAGATTCTGAATTGACGTGGTTGTTCTCGGCCACGACAAGCTTCGAGATACATATTTAAGTTGTGCAGGTCATAAAACCTCCCTCCAAGAGTTCCCTGCAGTTTCTTTAATCCACCAACCTCCTTTCCATTTATCAGAGTTTCACCGACGATCAAGTCTTGAAGACAACAGAGTCTTGAAAGTACTCCATTCGGGATCTCATTTAGGTTCTTTGACTGATCCAGATTTAGATGCTCGAGACTCACCAAATTTTCCATCCCATGAGGGATTTCTTTGATATTTGTTCCTCGAAGATCCAACTTCCTTAAAACTCCAAGATTTGACAACGATGGAACATTCCCTAAATCTTCACAACAATCAAGCAACAGTGAAGTGAGGTTCTTCAAATTTGATAAGGAATGCGGAAGACTCTTGATAGGATTCCAGGAAAGATCAAGAATCTTGAGTTCATTCATATCATCGAAGAAGCTTTCTGGAATACTTTCTATACAACAATCAGAGAACAACAATGTTGTGAGCCGAGACACTTCGACAAGGAAATTGGAAGACTCTTGATAGGGTTGAAGGAAAGATCAAGAACCTTAAGTGCATCCATATGCTTGAAAAATCCTTCTGGAATACTTACTATATTGCACTGAGACAACAACAATGTTGTGAGCCTGGGACACTTTGGGGGTGACATTTCTAAAGGTATATGTAACCACTGATTCCCCATCAACGAAACTTTCTCTAGATTCATGCTCCATTCTTGCACATCTGGTACCTTTTTCAACATCAATCCAGCTTTACCAAGAATCGAGATTTTGCAATACGCAATGCCATGTCCCTTAAAAGATCATGCATCTTACAGTTCTTGCATGTTCTCCTTCAGTAAAAACTTCTAACAAACAATTGCTAATGAGTCTATTCATTATGCACGACCATTGTCATACTCTGCCTGCATGCTATCCATTTCTTCCACAAGCCCTTCTGCGATCCAAAGTTGAATAAGACCTTCCTCCACAATTTCCTTGTCTTCTGGATATAATGCACAACTGAGGAAACAATCTTGAAGTTTTGGATTCTTTAAACGATCATAACTAAATTGTAATTGTTGTAACACTTCATCTTCGAATCCATTAACACTCTTTTTGCGTAGACTTAATTCTTTTAGTGCATTCCTCCATTCCGAGATGTCATCAATGCCCTTCAGACAAGAAGCTATAGTAATAATTCCCAAGTGCAAACCTGCACAACGTTTAGCAATTGATCTTGCAATTGGTTCCGCCCCTCGAATATTGAGAATATCACAACCGCCTTCTCTAAGAACAACTCCCATGCCTCTTCTTCCATCAGAGGCTTCACTTAATAACTCTACAACCCACTTGTCGACACACATCGGCTGATCTTGTTGTCAACACTAATTTAATCCCATTCAAGTACGACTCAGGAATTCCTATTCTCTCAAGGTAAACCTTCTCCATAGGTCATCCAAGATCATCACAAACCTACTCTTTTGAGACAATGTTTCAAAGAGAATCCCTGCCCTCGTTGTTTCATCTTCATCACCGTAAAATTCTACTCCAATTTACTAGCAATGTCTTTCTGCAGTTTAGAAATACTCATCTCCTTGGATACAGTAATCCAAATCACAGTATCGAATTTTTCGGTCTCTTTTAAGAGTTGGTTGTTTATAACCTTCATGATGCTTGTTTTCCCAACGCCACCCATCCCCCAAACTCCAATCTTTTGAACTTCGTCATCCATCAAGCAATGCCAGATATCTTCAACGCATACCTTTACAGCTTCACCTGATAAATTTGTTGTCGACAAAACTTGTCCGATCCATTGAGGATTGTCAACCACCAAACCTCCATGAAATTTACCGTGTTGAGTAATAAGTTCAGAAGCTTCCTTTATACTCTTTAACACATCTTCTCCGTGAAATCCACGTGTAAGAGCACTGCTTTCACCAATTCTTCCATCAAGGTCTTGTACGTCACCATTGATTCTTTCAACATTTTCCAACCATATCTGGACTTCAGCCTTGAGTTTCTTTCTTGGCTGCAGCTCTGTTCTAATAATAGATTCTGTATCTTCCTTAAGACCATTCAATTCCTTTAATTTCCTTTTAAGGTCCTTCATTCGCTGATCAAAGCTTCTATGATTGTCCAAGTGTTTATCTATCTTATTCAGGACAAAGTCCATGGCTGCAAATCACAAGCAATATGTTAGAAACTAAATAATAACGCATCATCAGGTGAATGTAAATAAAAATGACTAAAAAACAATTTCATTTAACCCAATTTTTTAAGAAAATAATTATGTAAACAAATAAATTTTACCCTCTCATGAATAATCAAAATAAATTAATAGGGCATAGATATATAGAGTCAATCCCTTGAAATTAGCTTGTCATGGTTACTTTTTTTAAACAAAAAAGAAAAAGGATAACATTAAGAAATACTTGTTACGGTTTAAGTTGTTCGGAGATGATGACTGGACAGAACCACAAATGAAAAGAAAAGCAGCCAAAAGGCGTTCCTTACTTGCTGATATGATGGCACACCGCTAGAAGAGAGGCACTCCAAAGGGTTCCTTCACGTGTAATTACAATCATGAAAAGGGAACTCTTTTGTTGCGGTTTATGAGGTTTGAAAGAACAATACAAAATGTGAAATGCAATATATACCTCTTCTAATTAACTTGAGAGGAAACGATGACCGGAGAGAAGCAGCCAAAAAGGTTCATTGTTAGCTGATAATATGTGCCACTCCCAAGGGTTCTCTTGAATCACCTACGCTTAAGAAACTTTCACCTACAACATACAAGGAAATCACACGCCCTCGGTCATTGGTATTTGCTATGTGATAATAAACTTGGTTTGGGTTAATTTATATTTTTATTAAACTAAGTTTATTTTGAAATAAATTATTTTCATAGTTAGGACAATGTTTAAAATTAAATAATTTTTTATTAAATAAAAGGGATTGTTCATGTATCAAAATTAAATTAATTTGAATCAACCAATTAATTGATCTAATAGGATGATGCACTATATCGCTTAAGCAAAGTCAGTAATTTGATTCTTGACTTTCGCGAATGGAGCTAAGTTGGGAGGTCATCCTCACTTTTGCAGTACTGATTTAAATTAATCGATTAATAGATCGAATGCATGTAGCTATACAAACAAAAAAATCAATTAGAGGTTGTTTTCCGTCTTTGAAAGTAGATGACCTTACGGAGAGATTTGGCTTTTGGTGTTTGCGTTAAGATGCTGATCCATGGCCTCTCCTGTGTTTGATGTTTCTGTTTTTGAGTTCCTGATGTGATATTGAGGCGGCTGTCGGAGTTTGCTAGCAGCTTCTTTATTTTGGGAAGAGGTTCGGTGTTTGTCGCGGTTTGTGTCCTTTATTCGTCTTTTTGCTTGTATTGAGAGTGTGGGTCTGTTCCAAAGGTATTCCTCTCTTTCTTCCTTCAGCTGTCCTGTGTTTGTTGTGCCTAGTTGGGTGTTCTCTGGAGTTGCTTCTAGATACGGTTCTTTGTCCGCTCCTGTTTTGTTGTTTCGCATTGTGTGTTCCTTGACGGCTCTTCGGCCGATGGTGAAGCGGTGAATACAACGTTATCGATGATGTCCTAGGTTGCAGGAGGTTTATGCAATAGCTGCTGGTTTGTTTTCTGGTCGTGGAAGTGAGGTGGTTGTCGTTAAGAGTGGGAGTTGTTTCTTTTGGATGTTCACCATCTTTTGAGGTTTCGTGCTTTCATTGTTGAAATTTTGGTTGGTGGCGGAGCGTGGCTCACAGTCGCAGATGGTATGTCGTAAGCTGTTGGTTTCGTTGTGGTTTGTGCAGATTTACTAGTCTAAAGTAAGGAGGTATGGGCACGTGTAGCTCTTGGCGTTGGGCCAGAGGAATACTTTCATTAGTGGTTTGTTTTGGCAGCTAGTTTCAGTGCTTGTGGTTCTTTGTGTTGCGTTAGAGGGGCAGCATGGTATGGGCATTAGTGGAGCTCGGCGTGGTTGGCAGTGCAAGTGGTGGGCCCTGGCGTTAAGTTTGCATCCGCGCATGTTGTTTTTTCCTGAGGAACGTTATTGTTTTTAATGGAGATAGCTAGTATGCGGCTAGTGGAATGTGAGGTGGAAAAGAGGGCAGATGCTTAAGAGATTTAGCTTGATTCTTCGTTTTTTATTTTTGTAGGGCATTTATTCCAGGTTGTCGATGCACGTGGTGGGTTTCAAGCGTTTTTTAGAGCAATGTGCGAGGGTTTTTCAGTAAAAATATGCATGGTGGACTGGCGCAATCACTGCAGTCCAACCTGGTTTCGTGATTGGCAATAAGAGTGTTTGCAATTGTTTCGCGTTCAATAGATAGTAGAAGATTTTGAGGCAAGATGTCAATAGGGGTGTGGCTGGTCGTGGTGTTTCAGTGAAGGAGTCTGCTGCTGTTCGGATAGAGATAGAACATTGAAGTGAGGGCATCGATTTGCGTGGGTGAGGATCTGGGCGTAGCTTTCTCGTTTTGGAAGTTTATGTGTTCTTAAGATTGGAGCACTTTGTGCTCTAGGGTATTTTTAGTGGGTGAGGTTTCTGCATTAGTAACAGGTTCGTGTTAGGGCAGAGCTTCTAGAGATTTTTTTCGCTGTTTAGCTATGGCCTCGTTGGTTTCGAGTGTTAGAGTTGTTCGTAGTCTCGTTTCTTTGCTGGCTGGTTGGCGCTGTTTGGGCTCAGATCAAAGTTATTAACCTTTGATCGGCATATGTTTAAATGTCTTGTCTCGGAGGTTGCATCAGGGTTTGTTCTTTGATTCGGTTGTGTGTAGTTCATCTTTGTATTTCTTTCAGGGGTAGTGTGTAGCTACATTGTTGTAGTTTGTTTCAGGTTGTTGTAGTTCCCAGCTGTCGTTCTTTGTTATTCTTGGGTTCATGTCGAACCTTCTTCCATCCTAAGGTACATTCTTTTTCCTCTAATTAGGATTAGAGAAGATTTTTAATGAGGTCATTGGAGTGGTGTACTTTGTGATTCTTAATACAAAGAAACCATTTTTCAAAAAAAAAAATTGTATTAACATCTTAGTGACTTGAGTTACGGACTCTTGATTTCAGACATATTCGAATACAAACATGGAGATGTTCTTCCTAAAATATGAAAAGACAACTATTTTATGGCGGTTGATGAGCTGTGAAAGAAGAATAAAAGTATTGGATAAATACCTCTTCTGACGAGACGATGACCGGAGAGAATCACCGGACGAAGAAAACCGGCAAATGAAGTTGGTTTGCTTGCAGACTGCTAGAAAGGAGCCAGTCCAAATGATTTTTCTATGCACCTAAACTTAAACAGAGAGGAAACCTGTGCGAAAGGTAATGAAATATTTTTTTTCCTAGGAATATATGAGGAAACCACAGCTATTAGGAAGAGACGACGAAGCTTCGCTGCAACGACTTTAAGAAATGCAAACTGAAGTCAAACAAAAAGAAAGAGCACCACTTTCATCGAAGTTGCTGTCACACTTAGGTAAATTAAAGTAATTATAATATCTAAATAAAGAATAAAGATGGTAATTAATATTAGATAGTACCTATCAACAATAAACTTTTTTTTAGGAACCAATCAACAATAAATTAGTATAGTGAAATGATGTATTAGATTTCTTAAGTAATATCATATGTTCATATATTGACGTTTGTGAATGAAATTAAATGGATTAAGAAATTGTCATCGCTTCTACAATATTCGATCTGAATTAGTCTATTAATAGATCGATTAGTAATGATTAATTAAAAAAAATATTAGATAGTCCCATAATTGACTTGTTTTTATTAGAAGACTGTTGTTTTCTGGGGCTGAATGGCATATAACATAGCTTTCATATAGCTCAATCCCTAAATTGTTTTTTAATTTGGCATTAAAATTTTCATTTTATATAATCCCACTTAAAATTTGTGTTTGAGCGTTAAAAATAGTCTTTTAAAAAGTTCATTTTTTTATTTAAAAATATAGTCTCACAAGCCAAGCCAACAGTACTGTCCAGATCTAAGCCACGACCAGACATGGATTCTTAAGGACAACTACTAAGCAGTAGCAAATCTTAGTCTTAAAAATGAAAATTAAAAATGCAATAAAGAAAATATTCCAAATCTGAGTAAAACCCCTTTCTTTTCTACTTTCACACTTCCTAAGCTTCTTCACTTAACTCTCCAAAGCCTCCCCTTTTCTCTCAGTCTGTCTGCAAATTCTCTTCTTTTTTCACATTTTGAAAGTCTTGCTCAACTCTAAGGAAGAAAGAAAAGAAAAGAAATGAGGGGTCCTTTGGTTGTTAACTCTAGCTTTGGGTTTAACCAAGGAAATCCATTGAGGTAAATTGAGATTGATGAATGAATGGAAGTTACAATTATATTTAACTTGTTTTAATTGGTGTTGTTCAATTGATTAGTGTCTTGACTTAAATGATTATTGTAGTATCTACCTTGCTTCCTCGAATGTGAGACTTGACAAGGAAAGATAAATTGAATTTTTTGGCTGATTTGATTACATCATACTTGGAGACAAGCATGCGATAAGTGAGTGAGAATTTGACGAGTGTTCAAAATTAATAATATTTCCTTGTTAAATCTTCGATTTTATGGATTTATTGTTGTTGATTTGGTTGTGGTATGCTTATTTTCGTGCATGATCTTACTTTTCAGGATTTGCAGTAAAAAGGCCACATTCAGTATTTTTTTTATTTGGTCACGACTAGAGACATGGGCACTACTCTCGGCATGACACGGTCTAACGTGACAGCTTCTTGAAGGTTCAGTCAATAGCAGCTTTCTAGAAGATCTAGTTAGCACCTTCTGGAAGGTGGACGAACAAAGATATCTTAGCAGATTTATTTTTAATTTTAAAATTTGAATTTAGAAAACATTTGAAATTATCTTTAGGATTATTTTTTTCTTTTAATTTCTATGTTTACCTCTAGGGTTTTAGAGGCTATAAATACTCTTTTGGATAAGCCTAAACTCACAACTCAGAATTTAATCTTCTTCTTATTTCTAATTTTATAAAGTTCTCTCTTTTATTTTCAAGTTTTTATTTTTATTTTAAATTTTATTTTTAAACATGCTAAGTATAATTTTTTTCATGTTTAACTAATTTTTTCATCGGATGAAGAAAACCGGCAAATGAAGTTGGTTTGACTATTAGAAAAGAGCCAGTCCAAATGATTTTTCAATGCACCTAAACTTAAACAGAGGAAACATGTGCTAAAGTTAATAAAATATATATATACTTTCAATTCTAATTTTAATAAAAAAAATTATATTTTTTTCAATTTAATTACTCAATTTTACATGATTTCTGCATTTATTCAATTGATATTGTATTTTAAGTACATTTTTTTTAACCAAATTTAAATCACATGTTCTCCTACCACTATAGAATACCTATGTAACTTCGGTTATTTTTTTACTAAAAATTTACTCTCTTGTTTTAATTTAGTCTTTTATACTCATTAATCTTTTATCCTCAAAATAACTTCTTTAAAATATAATATTATAAATATATTTTTATAATTTTAGATTGTATGTGATATATTAAATAACATTATAATGTGAAATGAATATGAAATATATATATATATATATATATGATTAGAAAAACTCAAAAAATTGAAATAAATTCGTACTATAATACTATAAATAATTATAATTAAATTTGTATAGAAATTCGTATCTATTTACTGTGGGATGGACCTTGATATTCGAATCAAAAAACACTTTTTCAGAAGATCAACTGTTTACAAGAGAGGGAATATGTCAAGAAAGAAAAAGGGTATAGATATTTATACAAACTAAAGAGGGAAGTTCTACAGTACGACACTCTTAATATACGATTAAAAAAAAGTGTTACCGATTTTGTTATTATTTAAATAATAAAACTGGTAAAAAAAATTACCTAAAATATTATTATTTCTACCTAAAACATCAATATTTTTTAATATATCCGGTAAAGTTCCTAACAATAACAAAACCGGTATAAAAAATAACAAAATCGATAGCGCTTTACCGGATATAACAAGCTCGGTAAAACACCCAATAATAACAAAATCGATAGAAATAATAATGTTTCCGGTATTTTTTGTATCGATTTTGTTATTTAAATAATAACAAGACCGGTAGCACTTTTTTTGGTCGTATATTAAGGCTGTCGCACGTGATCATTTCTCAACTAAAGAGCAGATAATCTAAATAAAGAATAAAGATGGTTTAATTAATATTTGATAGTACCGACCAACATTAAATTAATATAGTGAAATGATGTATTAAATTTTTTTAAGTAATATCATATGTTTAAATTTTGACATTTGTAAATGAAGTGAACTGGGTTAGGAGGATGTCCTTGTTTTTACAGTATACGATTTGAATTAATCTATTAATAGATCAAATAATAATTATTAATTCAAAAAAATATTAGATAGTCCCATAATTGACTTGTTTTTATTAGAAGACTGTCATTTTCAACCTTCAATTTTTATTCTCTTTATTTTTCTTCACTTTTTATTATTTAACCCTTTTTACCAACCCCTTTTACTACTTATCGCTTGATTTAAGTCATTCAAACATAAATTTGAAATTTTCTAAGTCCTTGAGGATCGACCCTTACTTCTATTTACTACATATTTTCCTTTATTTATTAACTGAGAAGAAAGAAATTATTTTGACATCAAAACGACAGTTGTCACTCACCAACCATATTTACAGGTAACGAAACCCCATTACCTACGACCAACTTACCAGGGTTGCTACAATTCAAGTGATGAGCAAACTTGGTGGAATTTGGCGTGATATGGTGGGTTGCTCCTGAATCCACAACCCATTGTTCTTGCATAACAGCAGTAACATGTTCTTGAGATTGAACAATGGACTAGTTACTATCACGTGGTTTAGCCTCATTGCCACAACAACCACATCCCATGTTATCACCATCATATGTAGAATAATAGGTAGTTAACGAGCCACCATTGTTCGAGGATTGATTATCAAAGGAAACACCAGGAAAATCTTGATCAAAGCGACGCCAACACTGACTGACCAAGTGCCTATTCTTACCACACAATTGGCATTGCACGCGCATGCGTCCTCTACCTTGACCGTCGGATCTACCACCAGAAGAGTAACCCTAACGAGAATGACGATACTGATTTTTTCTCAACCAATCTGTTTGCATCATGTAACCTCCTTTCTCTGAGCAAGATTGACATTCATAGGAAGAGACTTAGTCTGACCTTCAAACCCCGCAATATGTGTCTCAACATCAATGAGCATGGTACAAACACCATCAACAGAAAGAGACTCACACATGGCAGGGATAACAACAATAAACGACCGGTAATCTCTTGGAAGCCCTTAAAAGGAATGGGACTTCCACACGATGCCAAGGCATCACAAACTTCTTTCACACGGGTAAGATAAACCCTCATGCTATCCTCCCCTTTCTTGAAAGACTGGAGCTTATAATGTAAGCTCATCACAGCAGTCACAGATCGGTTTGCAAAGAATTGAAGCACTTTACTCCAACACTGACAGCAGTTTCAGCCCCAACAAAGTATGGCAGTAAGTGAGCATTCATTGTCGACAAAAGCCAAGACGCGAGCGCATTATCCTGTGCTACGATCTCCTCATATTCATCGTTCAGAATCACAACACCATCATCATTGATAACAGTTTCTGGCGATGGCATCATTGTACCAGTCAGCATCCGCTCTAACCGATGACTCCTGACTGTAAGCAAAGCTTGCTACTTCCATAATAGGAAATTCATCTCATCATGAACTACATTTACTCTTTTATTGGTAAAGGCTTTGGCATTTCTTGAGGAAAATTCCAACGACACAGCAACATACTCCAGGCTTTGAGCCATAACAAGAATAGAGCTATGCAGCGAAAGATTCAGAAAAAGAACCCCAGGAAAGCAGCGAATGATACCATCTTGTAAAGTAAGAACTTACAGAGAATATTGAAGAAAATATAACTACTTCATATATTCAAGAACCTGATACAACAAGACCTTATATACATTCCATGCACACGTGAACTATTAAGCTAACAAGCCTAACTACTTAACAACCTAACTGAACCACATCCACGTGTGTACAGCAACAGTCAATACAAACTCAACACTTGTATATATGAATTGATCGCCATGACCATGAAAATTTCTTGCTCCTAAGCAATATATCTAGCAGGGATTCAAATAGCAGAACACAAATGTGATCGTGTCCGCTATTTTGAGGTCACGCCGCCGTCCGAAACTGATATTACTGAGTTTAACGGTGGGTAACGGATTCATGCCAATAGTGGTCCGTTGCGCCCGCAATTTAACGGGGTAACCGTGGATAGCACCGGAACACTATTTCCTTTTTTCAACCGTTATTGAAAAAAATAAAATAAGAACATAAAAAATGGAATTTTCACCCAAAACGCAAAAATCAGTCCGAAAAAGACTCACCAGTCAAAAACTCTTAAACTCAAAAAAAAAAAATAGAAAGCGCATCATCGCGCAAGACTCACCAGTCACCAGTCACCAAGGTAAAGATCAAACCGATAAGGGGACAAGCCGACAAAACAAAGCTGTTTTAGGGAAAATCTTAGGTCTGATGAGCTTCGCCGTCAGTGAAAAATAAGGTAGAGTGTATGCTCCTCAGCTACTGTGAAAAACGAAATGTTAAACTTGAAAATGAGAAGACTTGGGATTTAAGACTTGGAGAAAATTATATTAGAATATTAAATAGCTTCTGGTAATTTCTTTTGTTTTTGTGTTTGATTTTTAATTCAAAAAACAATAAGTATATTGTTTTGGGCCGTCCACTCATATGTTCCATTTTTTTATTTTTTTTTATTTTTTAAATAAATTCTTAAATATTTTAAGGGATATATTAATTTATCATCACTCCCCTCTTTTAGAATTTATAATTTAATCCTTACTTTAGAATATAAACTTTAATTTTTATTTAATTTAATCCTAAGTTTGTGTTCTCTAAATTTATACTTTTATTTTAATTCTATTCAATTTAGTTGTGTTCTATTCAATTTAGTCGTGTTGCGGCTTTAATTATTATACATCATAGTTTTATGTTTTTACTTTAATGATTGAACATCTTATTTCTTTTAAATATACAATAATGTATTCACAATGTCATCAACTCTTCATTAATTATCTTATCCTATCATCGGGTTTTAAAGTCTTCTATTTGGTAAAACAATATTATATATGTCATTTTCGGTTAAAAACATTCTAAACATCATTAAAAATGACTAATTATAATTATTATATTTTACGATAAGTTGTGCGAAATTTAAAAAAATTTACAACCGCGACACCCGCAGTGACCGCGATGACATCCGTTATGTCCGCAACCGCGATAAACGCGATGCAACCGAAAACGCGGCCGCGAACTCTATTTAAATCCCTGATATCTAGTTCTCTTATGTTCCGAATGATATCGATATGCTGGTTGATATTATTTTTGCATATATATATGAACTAGATATAATTCTGAAGCTATTTTGTATATGTTGCTTGGAGTTATTGTACGCAATGTTCAAAGCTTCTCAAAGGCAGCTAATAGTTTTGAATAATATGCAGATAGATATATTGATTCAATTCTTAAATAAATGAATCCTTAACATTTAAACTTAATTAATGTGGAAATTGTGCAAATTATATATAAAATGAAAATAATTAAAGCAATCTATAATTAAATATTTTTTTATTGATAAAGAACACAAGATAATAATTAAGCACTAAATTGTTATGTCTAAGTGTGAGTGCTGCAGCTGCGTAAGGGGGTGTCAGGAATCATTTTTCGCCGATAGATTTGTCACGGTTCATCTTCGCCATTTTAAAGTGAAAATCACAAATAAATTAGAATTCTAAATGAACAGAGTGTTCGATGAACTGTTCGTATAACATTAGTTTGTTAAGCTAAATAAACGAGTATGAACAATTTTTATGTTTATTTAATAAACACGCGAACACAAACAAACAAGCTCATTTATTGACTCGTTCATTTATGTTCATGAACAAGCTCATTTACTCAGTTCTCTTTTCTTTTTTATTTTTATTTTTTATATTTTAAATATTGATGAAAGTAAAGACTAAATTAAACACATGGTGAAAGTTAAAATTTAAATTACGAATTTTTAAAGAGTATAAGGACTAGTGGCATAATTTTATTATTTTTTCTTTAACTTCAAATAAAAGGGCAAAACTAAAAAATTGAACATATAAACAGATGATAAACGAACATTTTAGAGAACGCTAAACGAACATGTTGGTAAACGCAAAACGAATATATTCGCGAAGGATAAATAAACGAACACGAACACATTCAAAAATAAATAAACGAACAAAAACACAACATTAAAAAATTAAATGAACACGAACCGAACATGAACACCTTAAAAATAAACAAATAAATATGGACATAACTTTGTTTGTTCAAGCTCGATTCATTGATACCGCTAAAATAAATAATTAAAGATAATTTAGTAATAATTCCACGTCAACTAAATTTAAATAAATAATTTCACCATAAAAAGTGTGCAAATAATATAATAAAATGAGGTATGAATACAGTTTGAATTCATAAAATTAAGCTTCGCTTAAATTAGAAAATAAAAACACTGCCAATGTTACAAACTCAACTGCTCCGTTTGATCCTCCCTTTACCTTTTACCAAAATCTCACGAAGGGGTCGAAAAGAGACTTGGGTTGGGGACCATCCCATTCCACTGATTCCCACCACTTCTTTGGTCTTATCCGAACTTCAAGAGAAAGATTTGCAGATGCAGATGGTGGGACATTATCAAGTTTGGGAAGATTAAGACCCATCCTCTTTAATTTTGGACAGTATACAATCTGAAATACGACAAGAGAATCACAAACCAGTACTCCACCAGCACTGCAAATGCTCTTCAATTCCGGTAGACCATTCAACAACAATTGTCGTAGTTGTGGAAGATGAAACTCCGTGATAACCATTCCTCTTTCCTCCGGTTCAACTTCTGATGTTATTATTTCCTCCAATTGCTTACACCCACCAACTCTAAGCCTTTGTAAATTTGGCGGCACACAGTTTGGGGAGAACAACTTTTTCATATTCCCACAATCATATATATGAAGAGATTTAAGAGATGAAAAGGAGGAAAGTGAGGAGAGGATAAACCTGGAGAAAAGCGGGTATTCCTCACTGCAATCAACATTGCAATCCGTGATATGCAATCCCTCAATGTCACGTGGAAGCACAATCTGGTAGTTATAGATGTTACAACCCCTTGCAACAATTTGTTTTCCTCCATATTCAGTATACTTATGAAAGTATCTATTTCCCACGTAGATTCTGTATTGACGAGGCTCTTCTCGGCCACGACAAGCTTCGAGATACATATTTAAGTTGTGCCAGTCGTAAAACATCCCTTTAAGAATTTCCAGTTTCTTCAATCCACCAACCTCCTTTCCATTTACCACAGTTTTACCGACGATCAAGTCTTGAAGACAACAGAGTCTTGAAAGTACTCCATTCGGGATCTCATTTATCATAGTTCGCCGCAGGTGAATTGACTCATCCAGATTTAGATGCTCGAGACTCACCAGGTTTTCCATTCCTTGAGGGATTTCCTTGATCTTTGTTCCTCGAAGATCCAACTTCCTTAAAACTCCAAGATTTGACAACGATGGAACATTCCTTAAATCTTCACAACATGCAAGCAACAATGAAGTGAGGTTCTTCAAATTTGATAAGGAATGCGGAAGACTCTTGATAGGATTCCCGGAAAGATCAAGAATCTTGAGTTCATTCGCATCATCGAAGAAGCTTTCTGGAATACTTTCTATACGACAACGACACAACAACAATGTTGTGAGCCCGGGACACTTCGACAAGGAAATTGGAAGACTCTTGATAGGATTTCTGGAAAGATCAAGAACCTTAAGTGCATCCATATGCTTGAAAAATCCTTCTGGAATACTCTCTAAACAGCAACCAGACAACAACAATGTTGTGACCCTGGGGCACTTTGGGGATGACATTTCCAAGGGTATACATAACCGCCAATTCCTCATCAACGAAACTTTCTCTAGATTCATGCTCCATTCTTGCACATCTGGTGCCTTTTCTAACATCATGCCGGCTTTTACCAAGAATCGAGATTTTGCAATACGCAATGCCATGTCCCTTAAAAGATCATGCATCTTTACACATCTTCTATTTCCTCTTTTAGTAAAACCTTCCAACAAACAATTGCTGATGAGTCTATTCATTATTGCACGACCATTGTCATACTCTGCCTGCATGCTATCCATTTCTTCCACTAGCCCTTCTCCGATCCAAAGTTGAATAAGACTTCGTTCTTCAATTTCCTCATCTTCTGGATATAATGCACAACTGAGGAAACAGTCTTGAAGTTTTGGATTCTTTAAACGATCATAACTAAATTGTAATTGTTGGAACACTTCATCTTCGAATCCATTAACACTCTTTTTGCGTAGACTTAATTCTTTTAGTGCATTCCTCCATTCTGAAATGTCATCAATGCCCTTCATACAAGAAGCTATAGTAATTACTCCCAAGGGCAAACCTGCACAATGCTTAGAAACTGATCTTGCAATTGGTTCCACCCCTCGAATATCACAGCCCGCCTTCTCTAAGAACAACTTCCATGCCTCTTCTTCCGTCAGAGGCTTCACTTTAATCATTCTACAACCCACTTGTCGACACACATCAGCTGATCTTGTTGTCAACACTAATTTACTCCCATTCGACGGGTCAGGAATTCCTATTCTCTCAAGTGGAACCTTCTCCCATAGGTCATCCAAGATCATCACAAACCTACTCTTCTGAGACAATGTTCCAAAGAGCCTCCCTGCCCTTGTAGTTTCATCTTCATCACCAGAAAATTCTACTCCAATTTTACTAGCAATGTCTTTCTGCAGTTTAGCAACATTCATCTCTTTGGATACAGTGATCCAAATCACAATATCAAATTTCCCTGTCTCTTTTAAGAGTTGGTTGTTTATAACCTTCATGATGCTTGTTTTCCCCACGCCACCCATGCCCCAAACTCCAATCTTTGGAACCTCATCATCCATCAAACAATGCCAGATCTCTTCAATACATACCTTTACAGCTTCACCTGATAAACTTGTTGTCGATAAAACTTGTCCTATCCATTGAGGATTGTCAACCACCAAACCTCCATGAAACTTACCATGTTGAATAATAAGTTCTTCAACTTCCGTAATACTCTTCGAGACATCTTCTGTGTGAAATCCACGTGTAAGAGCACTACTTTCGCCGATTCTTCCATCAAGGACTTGCACTTCGCCATTGACTCTTTCAACATTTTCCAACCATATCTGGACTTCCGCCTTGAGTTTCTTTCTCGGCTGCAGCTCTGATCTCTTTATAGATTCTGTGTCTTCCTTCAAACCATTCAATTCCTCCAATTTCCTTTTAAGGTCCTTCCGATGTTGATCAAGGCTTCTATGATTGTCCAAGTGTTTATCTATCTTATTCAGAACAAAGTCCATGGCTGCAAGTCACAACCCATATGTTAGAAACTAAATAATAAGCATCATTAGGTAAATGTATCTAAACATGACTAAAAATATAACTTCATTTTACTCTACAAAAATGTTTAAGAAATTATAAAGATTTAAATCAAGAAGTTTCACCCTCTCACGAATAATCAAATTAAATTAACAGAAATTTAAGAGTGTGAAATTTCAAAATTTCAAGGAACAAAATTAAATCATGAATAAAAATACAAAAAAATCTGAATTATAAGATACTTTTTGGGTACATGGATGTCTATAAACAAAATTTAACAATAAATTTAAGGTATATTTACATAATGATTAATCAAATGTCTTTTTTTCTTTATGGTTGACAAAAAAATTTAAGGAAAGATCCTATGAATCGACCTCAATAGTAAAGGGGAGTGATGTTCTCATTAAAAGTATTGGGTTCGAGCAGTTGCATTTACATGTACGTGCGTTGTTAATAATTAAAAAATATTATGAATATCTTGTAATCACCCAGACTATTTTAAAAAAATTAATGTTGTTTTATCCTTTTGTTTTCTTAAATATTTCCAATATCGAAAACATGCAAATTAACAATCCAATGCAAAATTGATATAATTGTAAACTAAAAGTAATATTACAATAATTGAATAATTTATAAGGGTATTTTAAAATGATTTAGCAAAATATTCTTAGTCCAATTAATCAAAATTATATTTAATTTACATTTTAATAAAATCTATATATTTCTTTTAATGAAAAATTAAAATACTAAACGAAAACTAAAAGTTAAATTCTAACCATAAGGAAATTATCATAAACAAGAAAAATGAAAATTTAATCTTAAAATAATATAAAGGAAATAATTTTAATTAAACATTTTTTGAGAGTATTTTAAAAGAATTCAAAAAAATATTAACATTTTAGAACACAAATCCTAAATAATTTGTAGGGTAAACTACACTAGTGACCACTTAACTATTGTCAGATTTCATTTTGACCACCAATATTTCGATTTAACCAATCAGAGACCACTCAACTATTTAAATGCTTCAATCAAGTTCGTTAACTTTTAATGGAAGAGGCCATGTTGAAGTTAAAAACTTGGTATAATTGCATATTTGGTACTCAATTTTTATACATTCTATCAATTTGGTCATAATATAATTCAATTAAAATAAATTTAATCTCTAATTAGATGATGACTTGTGTCACTACCTGATTAGAGAATATTTTCTTAATTTTTATTTATTTAATTCAATGAATTTTTCATCGAATAAGGTGGTGACATGTCCCTATTAAAGAGAGAAAATAAACGGGAGGAATGCATTAGGGGGCATCAAACCTAAGACATTCTAAAGCCAAGCACACCTGAACCACTCAGCTAAGCCTCCCATTTGGTTCTATATTACAACATTTTTTATATAACTTATTTCAATTAATGATAGGAAAAATGAAGTGAAAATGATATCAAGAAGATTCAAACCTGAGATTGTAAGCATGGATGAAACAATCATAACTACTAAGCCAAATCACATATTTAAAGAAAAGTTTTAGTATCTTTTATATATTCGTATTTTTACTCAAAATTTTATTTATCTCATAATATTGTTATTGATATAAAAATAAAAAATAAAAATATTTAGATGATATTTAACTTTTAATATTTTAATATTTTTAAACAGAAAAATAAAGCATGGATGAAACAATCATAACTACTAAGCCAAATCACATATTTAAAGAAAAGTTATAGTATCTTTTATATATTCGTATTTTTACTCAAAAATTTATTTATCTCATAATATTGTTATTGATATAAAAATTAAAAAATAAAAATATTCAGATGATATCTAACTTTTAATATTTTTATATTTTTAAACAAAGAAAAATAAGTTTAATATTTTATTTTCAAAACCAAATTCAATATTTTTATATTTTTAAACAAAATTTATGAAAGAATTCATTTCATATAAAAATAAAAATATTTTTATATATTAAAAAATAAGTTTTATATTTTCAATATTTTAAAACAATTAAATTTAATGCAAGATTCAAAAATATATAAAAAAACATCGAATTCAGTTTTAAAAATAAAATACTAAACTTATTTTATTTGTTTAAAAATATTAAAAATAAATAAATATCATTTTTTTAATGAATATAAAAAAATACCAAAAATTTTCTTAAAATATGTGATTTGAGTAAGTGGTTATGATTTTTTTCATCTATGCTTACAGCTCCATATTTGAATCTCTCTGTTAGCATTTTTATTTCATTATTTTTTTGTCATTAACGGGAATAAGTTATATAAAGGCTACTATGGTGTGTCAGTTTAATTCCTCCTTTAGTTTATCTCGTCTTTTATTTTTTTTCTCTTTAATTCGGTGGTAACATGTGTCTTCATCTTGGCTAAAAAATTATTAGATTAAATAAATAAAAATTAAAAAAATATCATCTAATAAGGTAGTTCTAAATATGAAAAGGAATCAAATCTACAGCCGTTTATGAGCTTTGAAAAAAAACAGAATGTTGAAATTCCATAAATACCTCTTTTGAGAAGGTTGTTCGAAGACGATGATCGGAGAGAAGCAGCTGATGAAGAAAACGGCCAAATGAAGTTCCTTGGTTTGCAGAAGAGCCGCTATTCACTCACCTGAACTTAAACTAAGCTTCACCTACAACACAGAGGAAAGCAGTGCGAAAGGTAACATGTATCATCATCTTATTTGATTAAAAATTTATTAACTTAAATAAATAAAAATTAAGAAAATACCATCTAATCAGGTAGTTCTAAATACAAAAAGGAATCTATTCTACAGCCGTTTATGAGCTTTGAAAAAAACAGAATGCTGAAATTCCATAAATACCTCTTTTGAGAAGGTTGTTCGAAGACGATGATCTCGGAGAGAAGCAGCTGATGAAGAAAACGGCCAAATGAAGTTCCTTGGTTTGCAGAAGAGCCGCTATTCACTCACCTATATTTAAACTAAGCTTCACCTACAACACAGAGGAAATTTCTGGGAAAATATGAGGAAGCTCCGCTGCAACCACTTTAAAGAAAGGTAATGACGTTAATTTTAAGGAAATTAAATTAAAGCCTAGTTTTGTTGTTTATTATTGTATTCTTATATTTGGTTGTATGTGATATTGATATTTATTATGTGATATTGAAGATCGATGATATCAAATAAAATCAAATGATCAATGAACAAACAAACGAACCCCGATGATATCAAATAAACTGTCGATGACGATGATGATCCTATTGAAGATCATCTAATACCAAAAATCTGGGACGTAATTGACGACGATGGAAATATGAGGTCGATTTGTACAGAGATCATCCCTGAGTGATAGAATTAAGAGCCAAATGGAAAGACAGATGAGCAGATGCAGGGACATTATCTAATATCTGCCTGCTTCTTTTAATATTTTCAGTGGTCTCATGGTGAGCGTTCAATTGAGTCGAGTCAAAAATTTTAGAGTTATTTGAGTTGACGAGTCTTATTTTATAATCCGAATTTGACTTGAAATTTTTTCGAGTTGGGTAAAGTACATAGATGATCCCCAAACTATAATGTGTTGCTTTGTTAGTTTTTCGACTATTAAAAGTTACAAAATAGTTTTCCGACTATGTGAAATTATTTTGTTGAGTCTCTCGACTATTAAAAGTTATAAAATAATCATTTGACTAAACATATGTTCCAAACTCGTCATTTTTTGGTAAAAAAATTAACGGTCGTCTAAGCTGGACATTAATATGTTGATTGAGATATGATAGTCGTTTGATATTCTAGAATAGATTTTAGCATCTCTCAGTCAACATATTAGTGTCCAACTCAGGTTGCTATCAATGTTTTAACGAAAAATGATGAGTTTAAAATATATGAATAGTAGAGTGATAATTTTATAACTTTTAATAGTCGAGAGACTCAACAAAAACTAACATCCTATAGTCGGAAGACTATTTTATAACATTTACTAATAGAGAGACTTAATAAAATAACACCATATAATCAAGGAAGAATATAACATATTTTAATTAAAAATAATTTTAGTTAATTCTCAATTACATTGATGTTACATGCAAAATCAAAATCATGTGATTTTTAGCCATGTTAGAGGTCCAAATTGTGACTCGTTGATAGTGTCGCACATTATATATTTACTAACTCGAATTAAAACTTAAATTTTTGTACGTATATGTCAGAATAATAGTGTGGCAGATGTTTTGATATGAATAGTTTGGACCCGGTTTTTATGTTAAAGGATGAATATATAGAATTTTAGAGGGGAATAAACTTAAAGAATTTTAGAAAACAAATATATTATCAATATAAAATACATAAAAATAATTAAAAATATTTTTTTTAAAGATTTTAAGAGGGTAATTGTCTCCACCGGTTCTCCTCGATACATTCTGCATAGAATACAGATGCTGCTTTGTTGGACGATGCTCGTCGTGATCTACAGTGAACCCTGAAGCTGTGATTTAGCTTTAGTCTAGTTTTCTTTCTCTTTTAATAAAAAACATTTGATTTTTATTTTTGGCCACCATACTAATCACATGGTTGAATTTTTTATTAATTTATTTTATCCATTTAATAACTTATTTTACTAAATAAAAAGATTAACGAAATAAAAAGGGAGTTTTGAAACTTTAAAAAATAATTTAAATCTTATTATGTATATGAATTTGATTATAATAATAATAATGTAAATTTCCAATCTTTTTATAGATGAATAAGAAAACTTATTTTACTATTAAAAGATTCAACATTTAAAAATCTAATCAATTGAAATTTACATCAATATAAAATAAATTTAAATAAAATTTAAATCATTATAAATAAAAGAATTAAAAATTAAAATCTTTTATGTTCTATAAAATATATATCATACCAGGAAAGAATATAAAAAAATCAAACAAATAACTAAGAAAAATAAAAGATACAGTAAAACACCATCATAAAAAATTTGGGTTAGAGTTACTAAATTTTTAATTCGATTTCCTTATAGTCATTACTAATAGAATATGCTTATGGGGATTCTTTGACCATAAAACCTTAATTATCTAAATTGCCAACAGTTGTAATATTTTTGAGTTTCTCATGAATGAATAGTGATTGATCAATCTCAATCGTTTTAGTTCTATTTTGTAGATCAAATATCTATTTACGTTATGTTATTAAGTCAATGCTTGAAATATTATACTGACGAACCAAAACAACAATAATGTTAATAGACATTATTAAAATATAATTTTATCATATATCTGTCGTATTTTCAACATTGCAATGCCCAATATCCAATCCATCAATGTCACCTGGAAGCACAATCTGGTAGTTATAGATGTTACAATAGCTTACAACAATTTCTTTACTTACACTACCAAAGTTTAATTACAATAAAATTACGACGAAGGGGTCCAAAAGAGACTTGGGTTGGGGACCATCCCATTCCACTGATTCCCACCACTCCTTTGGTCTTATCCGAACTGAAAGAGAAAGATTTGTAGATGCAGATGGTGGGACATTATCAAATTTGGGAAGATTAAGACTCATCCTCTTTAATCTTGGACAGTCTACAATCTCAATTTGTAGAAGATAATCACAAACCAGTACTCCTCCAGCACTGCAAATGCTCTTCAATTCCGGTATATGACTCAACACCAATTCCCGTAATTGTGGAAGATGAAACTCCGTGATAACCATTCCTCTTTCCTCCGTTTCAACTTCTGATGCTATTATTTCCTCCAATTGCTCACACCCACCAACTCTAAGCTCTTGTAAATTTAGCGGTACACAGTTTGGGGAGAACAACTTTTTCATATTTCTGCAACCATATATTTGAAGAAATTTAAGAGATGAAAAGGAGCCAATTGAGAAGAGGATAAACCTGGAGAAAAGCGGGTATTCTTCACTGCAATCAACATTGCAAAACCAGATACGCAATCCCTCAATGTCATGTGGAAGCACAATCTGGTAGGTATAGATGTTACGACCACTTGCAACAATAGCTTTTCTCACAACTTCAGAAAACTTAGGAAAGTCCATATCTCCCACAAAGATTCTGAATTGACGTGGTTGTTCTCGGCCACGACAAGCTTCGAGATACATATTTAAGTTGTGCAGGTCATAAAACCTCCCTCCAAGAGTTCCCTGCAGTTTCTTTAATCCACCAACCTCCTTTCCATTTATCAGAGTTTCACCGACGATCAAGTCTTGAAGACAACAGAGTCTTGAAAGTACTCCATTCGGGATCTCATTTAGGTTCTTTGACTGATCCAGATTTAGATGCTCGAGACTCACCAAATTTTCCATCCCATGAGGGATTTCTTTGATATTTGTTCCTCGAAGATCCAACTTCCTTAAAACTCCAAGATTTGACAACGATGGAACATTCCCTAAATCTTCACAACAATCAAGCAACAGTGAAGTGAGGTTCTTCAAATTTGATAAGGAATGCGGAAGACTCTTGATAGGATTCCAGGAAAGATCAAGAATCTTGAGTTCATTCATATCATCGAAGAAGCTTTCTGGAATACTTTCTATACAACAATCAGAGAACAACAATGTTGTGAGCCCGAGACACTTCGACAAGGAAATTGGAAGACTCTTGATAGGGTTGAAGGAAAGATCAAGAACCTTAAGTGCATCCATATGCTTGAAAAATCCTTCTGGAATACTTACTATATTGCACTGAGACAACAACAATGTTGTGAGCCTGGGACACTTTGGGGGTGACATTTCTAAAGGTATATGTAACCACTGATTCCCCATCAACGAAACTTTCTCTAGATTCATGCTCCATTCTTGCACATCTGGTACCTTTTTCAACATCAATCCAGCTTTTACCAAGAATCGAGATTTTGCAATACGCAATGCCATGTCCCTTAAAAGATCATGCATCTTTACAGTTCTTGCATGTTCTCCTTCAGTAAAAACTTCTAACAAACAATTGCTAATGAGTCTATTCATTATTGCACGACCATTGTCATACTCTGCCTGCATGCTATCCATTTCTTCCACAAGCCCTTCTGCGATCCAAAGTTGAATAAGACCTTCCTCCACAATTTCCTTGTCTTCTGGATATAATGCACAACTGAGGAAACAATCTTGAAGTTTTGGATTCTTTAAACGATCATAACTAAATTGTAATTGTTGGAACACTTCATCTTCGAATCCATTAACACTCTTTTTGCGTAGACTTAATTCTTTTAGTGCATTCCTCCATTCCGAGATGTCATCAATGCCCTTCAGACAAGAAGCTATAGTAATAATTCCCAAGGGCAAACCTGCACAACGTTTAGCAATTGATCTTGCAATTGGTTCCGCCCCTCGAATATTGAGAATATCACAACCCGCCTTCTCTAAGAACAACTCCCATGCCTCTTCTTCCATCAGAGGCTTCACTTTAATAACTCTACAACCCACTTGTCGACACACATCGGCTGATCTTGTTGTCAACACTAATTTAATCCCATTCAAGTACGACTCAGGAATTCCTATTCTCTCAAGGTAAACCTTCTCCCATAGGTCATCCAAGATCATCACAAACCTACTCTTTTGAGACAATGTTTCAAAGAGAATCCCTGCCCTCGTTGTTTCATCTTCATCACCGTAAAATTCTACTCCAATTTTACTAGCAATGTCTTTCTGCAGTTTAGAAATACTCATCTCCTTGGATACAGTGATCCAAATCACAGTATCGAATTTTTCGGTCTCTTTTAAGAGTTGGTTGTTTATAACCTTCATGATGCTTGTTTTCCCAACGCCACCCATCCCCCAAACTCCAATCTTTTGAACTTCGTCATCCATCAAGCAATGCCAGATATCTTCAACGCATACCTTTACAGCTTCACCTGATAAATTTGT